ATCTGGAGGGCATAAAGAAAGTTATGTCACCCTGTGGTTATTTATCCTTAGTACCTGCATCTATTGTGCTAATGGCTTGTTTCCACGTTTTGTGTTCTCTTTTTCTTCAGGGCTCAGCTGATTCCTACACAAGCCGACCATCTGATTCAGATGTGTCCCTGGAGGAGGAGAAGGAGGGCGGCCGGCAGGAGAGGGAGCAGCAGGCCACTGTTCAGCTTGAGAGAGCAAAGGTCAGTTCCACTAGGAGCTGTTTATGGGTAACGGAGCTTTTGCGCCACTGGTTGCCCTGCTAATCTGTGTTAATGGCTGTGTAAAAGTTGCCATACTGTTTCTGAACTTTTACAGTTTTCAACATTGTAAAAGTGACACCGTGTGCCAACATTCACACCGTAAAGAAGTTACATGAAACAAACACAACAATGCAATTAAGTACTTCAGTGAAATGTAGCCTTTAACATTAGGAAAACACCCGTGACACTTATTGCTGCATCACTTTAGGAAATAATGGTGAAATTAAACAGTTAAGCATTAAAATCACTCAATTTGATCACTTCATTCACTGCGCAGGAGCAGATGATGATGATGATAATAATAATAATAATAATGTGGTTTTATGGCCTTGGTATGAGGCTTCCCTGCGACCTGCTGTAGATGTGGTGTGATCACTACTGATGCTGTCTTCCAGCCACTGTTGTCAGGAGGTCTAAAATAGCTTCTCTTCAGCAGTGCCCACCCCTCACTGCAGGCCATTCGTTCTGCATGTGTGATGCTGGAGCACGATGGGCACGCTGGTGCTGTACAAAATGTCACATTCTGTGATAGATTGTCTGAAGCAAATTATTCACTGCTAATATACATGGTTATTGCTACAAAACCTCGTCCCTCCTTTCTGTCTTGCAGACTAAAGCAGTTGCGTTTGCAGTGAAGACCAATGTCAGTTACTGTGGTGCGCTGGATGAGGATGTTCCCGTGGCTGGCACGGCTGTATCTTTTGATGCCAAGGACTTCCTCCACATCAAAGAGGTGCAATTCAGTTGTGGTGTGGCACTGTAGGGGGGGATTCAATTCAGCCTGCACAGTTTAGTTTTTAACCACAGGAGAAAGTGTTTTTTCAACTAAACAAAGAGTTTCATGTTAGCTATTTTGTACTCTCTGTGTAACAAATTTTCCCATCATGCAGCTTGTGACCTCTGTTTGTTTTGTTTTTTTTATTGCAAGAGCCAAGAAAAGAGTCATAAGTTAATCTGATATTCATAAAAAGAGCTATGCTCAAAATGTAGCTTTTAAGTTGACAGACTGAATGTGCGTCCAGATTTCATTAATGTATCTGTGTGGGTTGTCATGGTGACAACCTGAGCATCTGTAGCTATATAGCCACGATTAAGATGCAGCTTTCCATCACATAGGTTTCCCCCAAAGTGCTAGCAAACAAGTTGGTTTTTTTTTTCTGCTGTGTGTGCACAGACTGTTGTTCTTCCCAGTTTCATACTGTTACGTCTCCTCGAGGGCAGGAGGGGATAACACAACAACTCCGGAAACTTAGTACAGGTGTTATGAAAAAGGTTTAATAGCAGCGCTCTCACAAAATAAATAACCCAAATTCAGACAACAAATGTGGGGGAGAAAGGGACAGTTAGGTTGTGCCAAAAAAACACCAAAAAGACAAATCCAAAACTTAGCTGAGCTATTATCCTAGAAAAGCAAAAACAAGAGGGAAAGACCCTAAACCTCAACTCAAAACAAGCTCAAAATTACATGGGTGGCACCAACCTACTTACCTAGTGTTTTTAACAAAAAGACTCTATGTGAGTAAGTGTATGGGGTCCCCAAACTTACCTAGTCCACTTTACTCCCACCACAATTATCAAACAAAAGAAGGACAGCAGAGAAACTTCACACATGTACCAAACAATTCAAAGGAGGGAAGAGAGCTGCACCCAGCCACAGGTGAGTCTCCTTATCAAGGTGTGCACTCCTGGATTGTCCAATCAGGGTCTCCCTCCTCTAATTAGTTGGACGGCCCCAGTCCGCAACCTAAGGGAACGGCAAACAAAAGGAGAGGGAAAGAAAACATGCAGCCTGCAGACACGTAACACATACATTGCTTCCTGTTAAGCTGTTAAGAGTTTGAATCCAGGAGCAGGAGCGTAGTTTGCTGTGATTCTATTGTATGTGGGGGCAAAAAACATATCTAAGCTGGTAGTCTGAACAAGGCCCTTGAGTAAATACACTCTATCATCTTTACTTTACCTGCGCTTTTCCATTTCCACTAAAATTGCCACTCCTCAGATTTGAGTTAAACTCCATTAATATGTCCTGATATGATTGTTTGTGAGGCTTCTCACAACAACTAGTTAAAGCAAATCAATACAACTTTCTGTCTGGACTTCACACAAAACAGCAACCTGTGACTTAAGTTGGATCATGAGCCGGATGAGTTGATGTTCTGGTTTTGTACAGTTGGTGTGGTGCAGGGCTCACTGATGTGTCTCATCATAGTAAAAGCCGAAATAGCAGTCTGCTTTAAGGTCAGTTTGACCGTTCTTTATTTGTTTGCCCTGACTGAAATCCAGCCAGCCAATAAAAAAAGGATCCTGTCTGTACTTTGTATTATTAGTACACAGCGTTCTGAAATATTTGTGTTAGTCTACTGAACGCTGTTATTTGTAATTACAGTATGAACAGTGATAAAAGTATCTTTTTGGATAGAGACATTTGTAATGTGGAAGCTGTTTCGCTGTATTGCATACCGATACAGAGGATATTCACTTAATTACAATGGATTACTCTTAAGGACTAATTTAAATAAATTCTGGGATTTTGTCGCTGAGACTTTTCTCGTTCTGTTTTTCAGAAATACAACAACGACTGGTGGATTGGACGCCTGGTGAAAGAAGGCTGTGACATTGGGTTCATTCCCAGCCCGCTGAAGCTGGAGAACATCCGCCTTCAACAGGAACAGAAGAGAGGACGCTTCCCTGGGTGAGCAGGAGGGGGAGGGCTGGATGAGTGCGGGAGCGCGAAGGCGTCAGCAGCAGCAACAGATATTGCAGAGAAGAGACATGGATCAAAGGGGATAAAGAGAGTTTGAAGGGTTTGGGATTGTACTGAGAGCGAGCCACTTTAGGGATGAGTAGAGGCTGGCAGATAAGCAGCATGTCAGGTGGATGAAATCCAAGTTTTGCTGTGTGGTCCAGGCTCTCGGAGGTATACCTGGATCAGAGCCACCACAGAATTTTCCACCAGATGGGATGCTGGGTCGTAGTCACCGAGACGATTAATGGTGCTGAGTACTATTATCCTTTCGCAGTTACCATAAAATACAAAAAAAAGCACTTGTCACTGTGAGGTACTTTAGATTTCTATCACAAAGCCATGTTATCACAATAGTACAGAAAGAAAAATGATGACATATTTAGGTCATTTATATGCACGCCAGTCGATGATTAATGCGATCGCTTTTTTCTCGTATGTATTTATATCTTTCAGTAGACGTCTGCCTTACTTTACAGACACATCACTGATTCACTGGTTCTTTGATGTTATTTAAATCCAAGAACATAGTATAATATGCAGTTTATGACTGTAGGACATAGTGAGTTTATTCGTGGGCGGTGGTGGTGACAGATGAAATCATCCCATTAGCTTTTACAGTAACACTGCTCTTTCTATCCGGTGTTATCCATCCAGCAGTAAATCCAGTGGGAATTCCTCCTCCAGTCTGGGAGAGATGGTGTCAGGAACGTTCAAACCGAACCCAAACTCTGCAGGTTGGTTGCACAGATCCGGTTATTTATAATAGCAAATGCTACTGTTAGATTCACAAGGGATGGTCTTGTTTTCTGCTTTGTAGTTATCTGTGTATCAGTAGGAGCATCTTTTTTTAACCTTTTGTAGTAAAATAAGGCTTTAACCTCCTAAGACCCGAACTCTTTCACGACATGCATTTTTAATTTCTCTTTGATATTTGGGCACATTGGGGCCCGATGAATGAAAAAACAAAGAATTACCAGATTTTTTTTGATTTTTTTAATTTATTTTTGTTTTTAAGAAAAATAAGAGCCACATATGAGGATATTTGTTTAAAAGTTTGATGGAACAGAAGCAGTATAATGTCCTCGTAAGTGGATATCAGGCCCTTGTAGAGCAAAATTGAGTATTTTAGTCTAAATAACCCAAAATGTGATGTCCACATATGTGGATCCTCTGTTGCCAAGCAGTTTTATTACCGTTTTGTTTTTTTTTTTAAGTAATTTGATTTGTATGTGGACACAGGGACCTAGGAGGTCCCTGTATTTTTAAAGAAAGCAATACTGGTAAACACACCACACTTTTTTTTATGCTCAGTTGCAG